ATAGTTTTGAATTATGGTGCTGGAGAAGACTCTTGAGAGTCCCTTGGACTGCAAGGAGATCAAATCAGGCAATCGTAAAAGAAATCAACCCTAACTGTTCCCTGGAAGGCCAGATACTGAAGCTGAAGCTCAAATACTTTGGCCACCAAATGAGAAGGGAGCACTCACTGGAGAAGACCCTGATGCTTGGGAAGGTTGAAGGTCAAAGAAGGGGACAGCAAAGGATGAGATGGTTAGACAGTGTTATCAGTGCAACAAACATGAAATTAAGCAAACTCCGGAGCACGACGGAAGACCTTGCATGATGTGGTCCGTGGGGTTGTGAAGAGTTGGACTCGACTATTTGACTGAACGACAACAACAAAGTACGTACCACCTTACACTTACCTACATTGAACTGCATTTGCCATACAGTTGTTCACTCACCTAGTTTGTAGAGATCCTCCTGGACCTCTTCGCAATTATCTGCAAACTTGGCTGCTATACTGCTCACCCCCAATTCCAAATCATTTACAAGCAAATTTAATAGCCCTGGCCCTTGAGGGGCTTCACTGCTTACTTCTCTCTGTTGTCAGAACTGTCCATTTAACCATTCCTGTCATTAAGAGAACCCATTATTTTATCCCATGACTGCTAAACTTAATCAGGAATCTTTTGTGAGGTAATTTGTCAAAGGCATTTGACTGAAAGCTGTTGAGAAAGGCATATCAGTTTTTCTTTACAGTGCATGCAACTGTTGAAATGTATATAACTTGCACTGAGCCAATGGGTTTGGCAGACTGATTATGTTATATGAAGCCATCGTATTATTAGGTGATAACATATTAAAGCTGGAAAGTACATAAAGGCTGTCTAATTCAACTATCTTAGCAGAGACAGAATCTCATCACCAGTGGAATAAACCTCGTACTAGCTTTTATAATTGTAAGGCTGGCTGTGATCCTGACTCCACTCCAAAGAGAAACCTGTCTTCTTTGAAGCAGGCAATTATATGACCATGACTTAAATTCTATACAACTGCTTCAAAAATAAGCTTGTTCACTTAAAGGTATTATAATACTTCTGAAGATGCTTGGGGTGAAACTATAGTGTATCTTAAGGAAAAGAGGTGGGGCACTAATTGAGAAGGAGTGGGATGTTAGAGCTTTGCCTTCTGGCACAATGAAAACTTCACACTGAGAAGAGTTAGGAAGGACTGTATGTCTCTTGCTGGCAACTAGTTATGTTCCCCCCTTAGGGGACCTCACCGTTTTAAAAGCACTAAACAGCAACAGGAGACTCGCTTGTGTTCAGCAGAAATATTTGCTGTAATTCTACATACTACAGTCACAGTAACTGAACAGAGCACTAATTCATTGTCTTTCCCTTTGTGCTACAGAAGTATTATTCACGTTTTGAACACAAGCAGATTCAGATACAGAGATTAGGTTATTTGGCCAGATGAATGCAACAAGTTTTTGGAGAATCCAAAACAAGAACCCAGTTTTCTGAGTCAGTGCCTGAACCACAAGTTCTCTTTTCTCTGACTGCAACTTAGAACATCAAAGAGCAATGTTATGATTTGGGCATGTTGATCTACAGTTTAAAATGTAAAATCAGGAGTAATTGGATTGTGGTGAAGAAAACTTCCCGTTCACTGTAGGATAGCCAGAAGATGAATGATGTAATTATATGAAAGAGTTGCAAACGTTATAATCATATAGGAAATGCTCTCTGTCTAGCCATGTGTACTTTCCTCATGCTTTTATTTTTGGAACTGATATAATTTCCATTAATTGATGTAGTAACTAGGAATTGTTTTGAATGAAACATTTTAAAGATAATGTGCTTACCTGAAAATATATATTGAAGCTATTCTCAATTTTTGGCAATCACTTGTTTTTCAATGAGGATACTATGCCAAAGTTGCTTGCTTTGGCAAATTCACCCCTTTTCATTCTCTCCCCACCCTGTTTCTAGGATTGAAGTCCCTTGTATTCTGAATTGTATGATATTTTTGGAAAGGTAGAATACATTTTTCATAAAAATTCCATTACATGCTTTTATAAATTACTAACCTTTTCAAACAAAGGACCAAATTATGTGTCACACAAAATGATCTCCTTTACATATAATTCTGGCTCTGCATCATCTGATTCCTGACCAGTCACATTAAAGCATGATATTGGAACATGGGTCATCATCCTTCCTTTTAACTACATTTTAGCTTACAATACTACTATTCATATATTGAGTTGGATCCGGCACCATAACAATGAAATTGCTCACAAGTTGTTAGCTATATATATGTGTTAAATAACAATAATAAAAATAACAAACACTCCCTTAAAAATAACAGGTTAGAACCAGCACAGTGTCTTCTACTCATGGAATGCAACTTGCACTGCCCTTCTCCCATGGCAGCCTGAAATGCCTCCCAAAATATCATTCCTGGGGTCCCCTCTCACATAGGACCAGAATTTCAGGGGGCATTTCAGGCTCCCATAGGGAGGGGAAGGCACAACATTCATGCTCTGTGGCCCATGCACCTGCAGAAACATTGTGTTTAATCCAACCCATTATTTTTAAAAGACTAGTTTGTTACTTTTATTACCATTATTTAGCACACACACAGGTAAATCACTCTGAGAAATTTCACTGTTACTTTGCAAATTGAAGAAGAGAAGAGATTGGATTTATACCCCGCCCTTCACTTGGAGTCTCAGAGCGGCTTACAAACGCCTTTCCCTTCCTCTCCCCACAACAGACACCCTGTGAGGTAGGTGGGGCTGAGAGAACTCTGACACAAACTGCTCTTTCAGGAACAGCTGTGCCAGAGCTTGTGACTGACCCAAGGTCACATCAGCAGGTGCAAGTGGAGGAGTGGGGAATCAAGCCCGGTTCTCCCAGATTAGTGTCTTAGAGTCCACACACTTAAGCACTACACCAAACTGGCTCCCTTGAGAACTAGGCTTTATATAGCAACTTGCAAAGGATGACCCACATGAGTTTATATACACTTTCACAAAGTAATTGCTCTGAAAATGTCTAAAACTAATTTATTAATCTTAGAAAATGGATTATTTCCCAGCACATCAACTTTCTTTAATGCTTACATTAATTTGTACTTGAAAAAAAATGAACAGTGGGATTTCAGTCAAGAAATGCTATACATGAACTAGATAACGTTGTCTAGGATTGAACAGAATTCACTGGGCTTATTTTTTTCTGAAGCAAGGTAACTGTCCTGCCCCTTCTTCACTTTTGTGTGCGTAAAGTGCTGTCAAGTTGCAGTTAACTTATGGCGATCCCAGCAAGGGGCTTTCAAGGCAAGTGAGAAGCAGGGATATTTTGCCATTGCATTCCTCTGCAGAGACTTTATTGGTGGTCTGGTCTCCCTTCTAAGTACTGACCCTTAGTTTCCAAAATTTGACAAGATTGGGCTATACCATGCCACCTTCCCTCCCCATCCTCCACTTTTACCAAGGCTCCCCCCCCCCCGCGTCCTTGTCATCTAAAAATCAAATGCATACACTTCTAATCACTACTCTTCACAAGCTTGTTTTAAACATTACCTAACTTTTCTCCCATCTGATGGTTTGAGGACAGGGTACCTGAAGAACTGCATCCTCACACCCAGGCCACCCCCTTATAAACCCTGCTCCTTTGTGCAGAGGTAAAGAGTGATGACCAGAGACATGGCTCTTCAGTAGTCATATCTCACCTGTAAAATACCTGCTCTCCTCCTGAAACTCATCTGGCATCTACCCTACTCTTTTTCACACACCAGAGCAAAACATTTGTACTCAGACTTGTAACTAGGTATTTGATCTTCTAAATAATGTTAACAATGTTTCTAGCTTGAGGGCTATGAAGATCATTTGCCAAATGTCAGGTAGGTCAGGCTGCAATTAAAGGCAAAAAGGTTAAAAAATCAACAACACCGGGTAATGTTCTATCTTGGGGTTATTTATTCATTTAATTAATCATAGAATTGTAGAAAAATGGAACAGTGAACTATATTACTATGTATGGTATATATGATCTACTCACTGTAAGTTATGGTCCTACTCTCATTTCATTATGTAACAGTTCTCAACCTTGTTCAATTTATCCAAGTCTAATACATTTGTTTCAGATTGCTGTAACCCTAGTCCTATTACATTGCTCACTGGGTCTCATCTTATGGGACTCTTGCTCTTTTCTACTGTAAATCACACTTTGATTTATAGTAGGAAAGAGCAAGAGTCCCATAGCACATTAAAGACTAACAAAATATGTGGCAGGGTATGAGCTTTTGTGAGTTTTGAAGGAGTGAGCAGTGACTCACGAAAGCTCATACCCTGCCACATATTTTGTTAGTCTTTACGCTGCTACTGTTGCTCTTTTCTACTGCTACAGACTGACTAACACGGCTATTTATCTTGATTTACAATACACAATTTACTTTGATTCCAAGTGACAAAGAGGCAGACAATGAATAAATAATAAACAAGGCATTTTTGTGTCTCTTCTCGACATCACCGGAGCGAAGTTACCGGAATCGGACCAACATAAGGACCCTCTCGCTATCTTCAATGATTCACTGAGTTGCCCTAATGGCTTTCAAATGGCGTCCTTTGTCCCTTCCAGGCTCGCCGCACCTTCTGCAGGTTTTGTGCGTTTCCTTGGGAGCAAGTCCCACTGAATTCTGTGGCACTTCCGTGTGAACATGCCAATAACTCTCCCTGCTGGAGAGTATTTTCTCTCACACCCTAGAAGACTGGGGAGGGAACAGATACGCGCGCGATGGGTTCCACCGACGACAAATGGGCCGCGCGTGCGCCATACCGGTTACTCGCTACTAGCGACGCCTACATTTGCTCCAGCGTTATTATGAACGCGGCGAAAAGTTCCTTGCCCGGTGGCGTGTCGCGCGCTCTGTGCCGTCACAGCACCGCGGGGAGGGGAGAGGCGGCGTTGCCTCTCCTTTCTGCCGTCTTTCCCGGTTCGTGATTGGGTCACGTGGGGGGGGGGGCGTTGCTTCGTCCCTCGAGCGCGGCGTACGCAGCGCAGTGCTGAACGTAAGTCTGATGAGGGAGAGTGGAGCAGGAGCTTTTCGGGGCTTGGAACTGGGTGCTTTGCCCGTGGAGGGCTCGCTTTCACCCTCACTCTCCCTCAGAGAACGTGAAAGCGGCGGATTACGCCCCAGATAAATGGACACAAAAGCGGCGGATGAGGCGCTGGGTGACGCGCTTCCGCCTTGCTGGAATGTCTTCCTGTAGCTGGGTGGGAAACTGTCTCTTAGGGGAAGAACAAAGTTCCAGTCCAGTGGCACCTTTAAGACCAAAAATGTTTTGTTCAAGGTATTAGCTTTCCTGTACACACAGACTTCTTCAGATACAATGAAATGTAAGTTACCAGTCCAGACATATAGGTAGAAGGTGAGCAGGAAATTAGCATACAACATAATGAAGATGTTTACCAGATCCATTTATAAGGTTACGATTTGTTTGGGTTTAATGGGGGGGAGGGAGCGTAGTGAAGGAAATAAATGTGTCAAAAATGGAGATTGATGGGCTTTAACTGTGGAATGCTGAGAGTAATTAACTGAGACCACCCTGCTATTACGCTCCATCTGTCTCCTCTCCAGCATGGAGGCAACCTTACAGTTCTTCTTTGAACTGGGGTGATTGGCTGTGTAGCATTATCTTCCCTGTCCCCAGACCAGAGAAATACATTCCAGTCTACCATTCCAAATTACATTACATTCTACTATTCATTATATTACGTTATAATCTACTGTTCTATTATTCCAAATAAAAAAATAAAATAAAGAGGATATATGGCCCTTCTAGGGGATTGAATACAGATGTAAGGGCTGAATGGGGGTTAGCATATGTAGTGAGATGATAAATCAATATCCCTGTTAAGTCCTGGGGATTCCATTGTTCTGAGTGATGTAATAACTGGCAACTCAACAATTTCCCTTCCTAGTCTGTTCCTAACTTTGAGGGCACCTATTGAATGTCCTGGAAGGTTGAAGTATTCTACAGGTTTCCCAGTCTTGTGATTCTTGATGTCATTTTGTGTCCATTTATCTGGGGCGTAATGGTAAGCTCTCAGTTAATTACTGTCAGTATTCCACAATGTATCTATGGACTGATAATTTCCATTTCATTGTATCTGAAAAAGTGTGTGTACAAATGAAAGCTTATACCTTGAATAAAACTTTGTTGGTCTTAAAGGTGCCACTGGACTCAAACTTTTGTTCTGCTTCAGACCAACACAGCTACCCACCTGAATCTATCTTGGGAAAAGAGTTTGAGTAATAAAGCCCCGCTTGAGCTTTTGCAGGGGGAGGAGTCTCCGTTGCTATTTCATTTCACATCATTTTCTCACTTTTTTCCTCAGGACTGTACACTTTTACAATTTGTTTGCATTTTTTGGTTTATTTGCTTGTTTGGTTAGAACCATCTCCTTGTACAGCTGGAAGTGGCCTGTAATATCATGTTTAAAACTGAATTCAGGGGTGCAGCTGTGTTGCTCTGAAGCAGCAGAACAAAGTTTGAGTCCAGTGGCACCTTTTAAGACCAACAATGTTTTATTCTGGGTATATGCTTTCGTGTGCATGCATGCTTCTTCAGATGTATCTGAAGAAGCGTGCATGCACACAAAGCTTATAACCAGAAAAAAGCTTTGTTGGCCTTAAAAGTGCCACTGGACTCAAACTTATAAAACTGTTTATCTTGCAGTGTTCCTTAGCTAGAGGGCTGAAAGGCTGTTCAAATCAAACAAAGTGTAGCCTATTAAAATTCGGATAGTAACTGAAGATGCAGCAATCCTAAGCAGGCCTACTCAGAAGTAAGTCCTATTTTATTCAGTGGGGTTTACTCCTAGGAAAGTGTTCTTAGGACACTTTTACAGCTGAAATTCTTTTTCTCAACAACTAGTTCAAAGACATTTTTGGCACAATCTTAAACACTTTTCCTAAGTCAATTGAAGGGCTTGGAAAGATGTAACTGTGCTTACAGTACACTGTGACAACCTCTTGTGAGACATGCCTGGCTTTGGGCTTAGCAACTGTTTTGAGACCCAGCAAACTTTTGGAATTTGATTGGCTCCTCCATATAACAAGCAGCAAGGGTGCCTGTATGGGCTCTGAGTTGATTGACTCCATTATGGTTATGATATATCCTGTATTTCAGTAGTACTGACCTGTCTGGATGACTTCCAGAGAGACATGTTTGTGCTTAGCATCAACCAAAAGAGCCATATGACTGTATGCCAGGAGAAACACCATGTATAATTATTTGAATCAAAACAATCATGTAATTGTTGTTGACTTTCATACCCTGTGTTTTCCCTTTGTTTCTTGTGATTTAACCCCCTAAATAAACGCAGTGATATAACTGCTAAAATTAAATGTATAATCATAACGTTTTCAATTACCATATGACTTATATAATCATAGAGTGGGAAGGGACCTCCAAGGTAATCTAGTCCAACGTAGTGCAATGTAGGAAATCCTCAAATACCTCCCCCCCCCCCCCAATGACCACTGTTCCACACCCAGATTATGAACATGTCTCTGCCTAGCACTGTTGAACCTTAGCCAGCCTTTTTGTTATCTGGAGTACATGGAAGGGCTTTTTACTCTGCCTTTTTGCTCTCTCTTCATCAAAAGGCACAGTAGGTCAGGTGGCTGGTGTGGTGGTGGTTGTATTCTCTGCAGCCAGCTAGCTCTCCCCCTAACAGTTGCTTGGGTGCAGGGATGTGAGCTCAGAGCCTGTGGAGAAGGGTGGGGGGCTATTGGAGAGGACAGGCCCTGTACTTCCATCTCTGGCTTGCTGCTCTGGGAGGCTTACAGCTTTACCCCTCTTCCAGTTCCTGCAGTGGTGACTGCTTCAAGTTGGGAAGCCTGTGGCAGTCACAAGCCCCACTGGGAAATGGATTTTCCCACTTTCCTGAGGCATGGGGTAGATGCAAGCTTTGGGGAACAGTGTTCAGAAGAGCCACAGCTAGCATGTCAAATAGCTGCATGTGGATCTCTATCTAACATCTATCTAAACATTTATGCTACGGAATATAATATTGGCTTCTGTTGCCTTCTGAAATCTATATACTAATAGCCAAGGCACCCCCTGCTTCCGGATATCAAAATCTGCACATCGGGGGCACCTAGGGGGCAAAGAGATTTTCCTGCACGTTTGGAGCAATCCCCAGATGTGCAGAAAAATCTGAAATCTATAAAAAACTATAGGGGGAATATTTAAATCCCCCCAAAAGTAAAAGAGCATTCCCTGCGCATGCGCAGAGAACACTCTGAGAACTGCCTCGCTGCCGCCACCACTGGGCGGGAGAAGGCTTGGTGGGCCGGCCACTCAGGCCTCGCCACTGCTGCGGCCACAAGGGGGGGAGGGAAAAAGCTTGGTGGGCCCGACAGCTGGGAGCCGTGTGGGCCTTGCCATTGGTGCCGGGGGGAAGGTTTGGCCTCGCCATTGGTGCTGGGGGAGGAGAAGGCTTGGTGGACCTGGCGGGAACCACACAGGCCTCGTTGGTGCCGGGGGGGGAGAAGGCTTACCTGTGGCTCTTTCCTCCTCCGCGTGGAGCTCCCCCCCCTGCGAGTATCACGGGTCCCCCTTCTTGTTTTATTATAATTGTTATATTTGCATATGGCTGATTCAGTAGTATTGGATGTAAATAGCTAGGAACACTATGAATAAAGTTATCCAGTGATAGATGTTACAATCATATCTTTGCAAAGACTTGCATACCAATTGACATACAAGACTACTCAAAGACTCACATTTTTTTCTACCAGCATTTTCTTTTTCATTCAACTTTCTCCTTCCTGAGGGCCAATTCTCACATTCCAAAGTTGTCTTGTCATCCCGCTTGGGAATTAATCACCCAGCATAAAACTCCCAATGCACATCTGTGGACCAGACACCTGGGGAACACCAGGACTTTGTCACAAGTGAAATGACCCTGGTACCCTACTCATTGATTCAGGAATGTGAACTGAATTGTTCTTATAGGGGTGGATTCGCAAGTATATCTTGATCAAACCACTATGCATTTGCATTGTTTATTTCCCACTCTAGTGACACCTGCTGAATACAAATTGCCTTTCTATTGATCTTCCAGTTTGTAATATAATGTTCATTCAGTGCACATTCTTCAAGTATGTCAGACATTTTCATAACACATCAGGTTTACCTGAGAGTAGGACTTTCTACTCTTAATTTGCCCCTCTAATTTAGGAGATGAGAGCTCCACAACTATTTAGATGTTTAGCTCCACAACTAACATTGTAGAATCATTTTTTGTAGTGATTTAACAGCTATGCTGAGCTTGACATGTTCAGATGACTAGGGATTGGCATAGGGAGTGGGCAATATTTTGTTACCAAATCAGACTATGCTGTATAGTGCACGTGTCATATGGAATGTGAATGATACTTTTTATTTAAATGCCTTGAGTTTGTTGCTCTTATGCTAAGAGTCTAGGCACAAAGATAATTAAAGCAAATCCCTTAATGGCTGTGCTCGTCATATAGGCATATTTTTCTTCCAAAAGTGAGCCTAGAGTGCTTAGTAAATTGCAAGGTCTTGCTTTAGAAAATGACCCCTGTTACATGTTTAATGTTCTATATTCTGCTGAAATGAAGTTCATGCAGTGTGATTCAACTGGAAGCAAAAATATGCTTACAAATTATTTACATAATTTGCTTTGGAAGATTTCTTTTGAACTACCTCATTTCTTTTTGACCGTAAGTTATGATATGCAAAATTCTGAAAAGTGAGTTCTTAAAAGTCTTTAAAAGCTTTCATGTAGCATTATTCATGAAGAATCTAGGACAAAAGAAGTTGGAAAAAGTGTCAGACTATGACACCACGGATTCTAAATGCCTACTGTTTGTGGTTCTATAAATCATAATTCTGTGTTTTTAGGATCGAATCTTGTTGCCCTTTCAAACAGCTAAGGTGGGGGAGGCCTTTTAAGTTTTCCTTTAAAATAAACTTGTGGAGTATGAATCAAGATGATCTGATTTAATAGAAATTAATATTTTATTACTTTAAAAGCAATTGATTTCCAATGAATCACATTTGTTCCCCATTTTATTAAGAATGGTGACAACAACAGTGCCTTTTGAGGTCTAAGCTGTGAGAGCAGTGATCAATACTGTGCTGTCAATATCCAGTCCTAGACACATTTTGTTTTCTTTCTAATTCCATGTTCGTACGTTCAGGATTTTAGATTAAGGCAGCAGCCCTGTACACTTATTTGGGAGTAAGCTTCCAAGTCAAAAAGCATAGAACTGGTCTGCGTGTATAATCAGATTTTGTTTCACAGCATTCGGAATAGGATTTGCTGAAGAGATACCTCATGGTACCTAACTGGTATATAGTTTTTGTGTGGTGTTTTAATTTCAAGCATAGTATGTTAGCACTTCAGCGATACCATTAGGAGTATTCAGAGATAAGCTCTTAGTTGAGAAATTTCTGGAGATTTGGGAGTGGAGCCTGGGGAGGGGTCTCAGTGGGGTGTAATGCCACAGAGTCTACCTTCCAGAGCCATTTTCTCCAGGGGAACTGATCTCTGTTAGTAGGAAATTGATTATAATTCCAGGAGATACACAGGCCCCACCTGCAGTTTGGCAACCCTATGCAGAGATCATTACTTTTTGCTGGTTCATCTCCCAATGCTTTGATACTATCTCCTGATATTTTTAGCCGCTGTTTTGTATTGTTCTGTGTTGTTTAAATGTGGCAAACCATCGCCAGAGCCCTTGGGGGCTAAAGTATTTATGGAGTTCCAGAATAATGGTCTTTCCATTGAAAAGTAGAATAAAAGCTTAATTAATAAAATTGGTGGTGTGGACACCACCACTTGGACAAACTGTTGCTTCAGATGTCATATCAGTGAATGAAATAATAAAACAGACATATGATAAAAAATAAAAATAAATAAAAGCATGTCCCATATTGCACATTAAAGGAAAACCATGGTTTGGAACGTGTGTAAACTGTTGGTGTAGAAGGCTATGATCTTTTAAACACGTTTATTTGAATTAGTTTCAAGTAGATGCTTTAGGATAGGGCTGCAAAATCAGCAGTATTTTAATTATGAATAGGATAGGGCTATCTGCATCTTTTGTGTTTTCCTTCTAAGGTTACGTTGTTTTCTTTCGCTGCATTATTACTTTCATAATTATTTCATGCGCCATTCTTCAGTTCACAAACAGGTTGCATTTTAGCAAAGAATAAGAACCGCCACTGTTCAGCTTACATACATCCTTAAACACTATTCACTAATTTGGTACAAAACAATTACATTCCTAGAATATATACTTGCGGGCACTGATCTTGTGTAGGTGACAAAAAATGTGGGCACATGGCAGATTTAAGTTAGACAAGCATCCACTTCAAGATTATTCTGTAAGCATGTACGTTGGAAATCATTGGAGAAAACAGAATAAATCTTTCATTGTCTAAAATGCCATTAGTCTTTTAATGCACACAGCAGAGGTTGGAGGAAGAATGTTTTAAGCAGTAGAAAATATTATGTTGAAAATGCATCACATTCAAAAAGCACCAAAGAGGTGTTTGAATAAATACATTTCTTTCTTTCTAAGTCGTGTTTCATTACAAAACATAAGGGCCAACTGTACCTCACATGCAAACGTGCCTATTAGAACCCAGATGCCTGGAGTTTTTAGAAAAGCAGCTTTAGGATGGGGGAGTTTGAAGCAAAGATGTAGCAGTATGTACTTAACTCTTTTCCTACCTGTAGTGTGACTTTGCCCTAAACCATTCCCCTGATTTCTTTACACCATGTGATTCAAAACACATTTGCTCACATTCTTTGGGAGTGGGGAAGGAAGTGAGTTTGAAGTGAAGAAGCAGTAAGCAGGACAAATATCCCCAGTCTTTGAAGCTGCTTTTCTTAAAAATACATATCCCCAAAATTACACACCATGATTGGTGTGTAATTTATGTGTAAAACAGCTAGTATCTAGATGTGAAATTAGTGATGCTTAGAACATTGGACCCCTAGTTAACACTTTTAATTCCCATTGATTTCAATGGGAGAGTGAATCAGGTTTCTAAAATGTGCTGCTCAGTTCTGTGTATGTTAACTTTGTAAGTTCCAGTATTCAAAGTACATCCCATTTAATTGTGTGTAGGGTTGCTGCCTTTTTTGTGTGTGGTGGTGGTGGCCTACCTTTAATTGTCGTTCATAGTCGGCACCTCACATCATTCAGAAAGGAAAAGGTAACAGAAGTTCTTCACTGTCAAAGGATGGTTTCAGAGGGTAGCTGTGTTGGTCTGAAGTATAACAATTAAATTCAAGTCCACTAGCACCTTAGAGACCAGCAAGAGTTTCGGGATATATAATATTTCAAGAGTCAGAGCTCCCTTCTTCAGACTTGAGTAGAAATGGAGATCTCTTTTATTCTAGTTGGAAAGTCGGAGGGATGTTGTACAGAATGTTGTAAAGGTACCATACAAGCTGATTACAATATGCATTTCTGTTCGTGTCTGGCTAAGGGAGTTTTGAGTCTCGAAAGCTTATACCCTGAAACTCTTGTTGGTCCCTAAGGTTCTACTGGACTCAAACTGAACTGCCAAGAGAAGACTCTTTATTTTCAAGCATTTTCTTGGCTAAAATATACTGTCTTAATTGATTTATGCAGATGCTGTTGTTGCACTCCTCAGTCCTCTGCTTCTTAGAAGACATTTTAGTTGGACATTTTAAAAATAAAATGGCTCACTATCAGCCCAACTTTCAACCAGGGTTTTTATTCTTCCTACTTCTCTATAATTTCTATAAAAGAACATTTAGTAGCATTCAGCACTACCTGTTTTATGTTTTGTTCTGGTATTGATGTTATGATTCCAAGCATATTTCAGTTTTGTAAATCTGTCTTATTTCCAGATTTCAGCACTATTCCGGGATTTGCAGTTTCTTTGAGTAAAAGAAGTAGTTATGCAGCGGAGAAACAAAGCAACAAATATTGGGTTGCTTCTGCTACTTTCTCAGATATATCAAGTTGGATTTTCCAGAATTCCACCTGTCACACTGGTGACTTTGGCAGTAAACATTTTTCTCTTTTTACAACCTCTGAAACGACTCGATCAAACATGCATTAGTGTTGAAAAGTGTCTTTACATGAAAGATTGGCATCGTTTGTATCTTTCACCGTTTCATCATGCAGACGACTGGCATTTATATTTTAATATGGTCTCTCTGCTTTGGAAAGGAATTAACTTGGAAAGAAGGCTTGGAAGTGCATTGTTTGGATGTATAATTGCATTATTTTCTCTGCTAGTTGCAGTTGTATATATGATTTTGGAAATTGTAGCTGCAGAACTTCTGGATGATCCTGTATACAAGCTAAGTTGTGCTGTAGGTTTTTCAGGTAAGATACTCTAACGTTGTAATATTTCTATTTCTTTTTAATGGGCCACTGACTTTTAGTAAAGAGGTGTAGCTGTGCAGTTTTTTGTGTGTGTGTGTTCGTGTGTGTTAAATATTTTGTGGCAGTGCTTTTGGTGTCTGTGATGTTGCGTTTGTCTTCAGAAGTCTTTAATAGGGGAGAATGTTGTACAAATACATCTTATAAAGCTCTTAATAAAAATATTGTATTCCTTACAGCTGGACTCCCATATCAAGTATTTCATGAATATTGCCAGAATGCTTTTTTAAAGCATTCAGTCCACCTCCCATTTTTTCAAACGTTATAGTAAGAATTGGGATCACAGAAATGTTCTTGCCATGGAACAATTTTTCCCAAACTGAAAGATGGCAGTCTTGTGTCTACAAAGGTTGTCCGCATAAAGGGTCACTATAGCCTAAACTAGAGTTCAGTCTCACTCCCACCAAATATCTCTATTGCAATTTATGTGAGTAAAGGAATATTATAAAATCAGTTAATTCATATAGAACAGTGATTACAAAGAGCAACAATCTGGCAATCCCTTTCTAATAGGACTGTCCTATTTCTTCTCTACTGTTTATTAGTTGCACTAGGAATCTCAGCTGATTTGAAATTGTTCCAAGGTATGCTCTCTTCCTCATTTATACATGTGAGACTACTATTGTAGCAAAATTTCAGCATATCAAATTATATCAAAGGCAATCTACTCTTTTATTTACATTATTGAAGTGTATTACAAGATAGGTAACATCTGACATCATTCCTTAAATCAGAAGGAGATGCTGGATGCATACTGTTCTTCACTGGTGGCTAAAAAGGTATTCAATTAATGCTGACTGTGGTAGAAATAACCCCTGAAGTAATGGAGGAAAGTAGCACCAGTAGAACAAGTCCAGCAAAGAAAAGGAAAGTCTATATGATAGAAGGCAATAGTTCAAGACAATAGTACCAGTCAAGGGTCCCTCTAAGCTGTGGAGTCCTGTGAGCAAAAATTCTACTTGGTGAGCTCCTAGCATTAAAGTGAGCGAGCGATTTGGCTGCTGCATGAATTAGTTTGCTCTGAAGCCCTCCTTCCTAAGCTAAGACAAAAATCTGTGAGCCGGAGGCTAAAAAACTGTGAGCTAGCTCACACTAACTCAGCTAAGTTTTTTCTGGATGGGCGGAGTAATTTTCATTGAGAAACAAGGTGTTGCCTCTGGATATGTAAATGCTGAGAATATTGGTTCCTCTCGCAGGTAAATAAATGGGAAAACTGAATGGTGGGTACCGAATTATTTTTTTCAAAATGAACAGCTGGATTTTCAGATTTCTCTACTCTTAAAAAGCTGCACCAAACCAAATAGGTTGTGGAAAGAGTTAACTGAAACGTATTGGACTTACTTTTGGAGGAAGAACAAAGATTGATAATAAAGCTCAGTAGAATATTGATTAAAGCTTCTATTTGTACCTCTTCATTGTTTTTGATTTTATCTGCAAATTTGTCTCGGTGTGATTTTACTCCTTTATATTGATTTAGGAGTGTTATTTGCTTTGAAAGTTCTTAACAACTATTATCACCCTGGAGGGACCAGCAACTTCATGGGAATACATGTGTCAAACAAATATGCATGTTGGTTGGAACTTCTAGCAATTCATTTAGTCAACCCACGGTAAGTGTAATGAATCATGTACAACTGATGTTAAATTATTGTGCCTCTATGTCTGGGTGTGATTATTTATGAGAGAAAGTGTGTGAACTATCCAATACAATTTTAATGTTAAAAAAACCACAGGTTCTTCTGATTTTGGTCTGTGGCGTGGGACAAGGAAGGGGGATTTTAATTCATGAACAGAAACCTTATTGAACATTGGGTGTGATCACACTGATGGCTTGGTGCGTTATGGCGCAGCCTCTAATTGTAACAGTTTAAAATGTTGTGGGGCATATCATCCAGACAGCACACCCTGCTACGGGTTACCCATGTGGCTGTCCCCTGGTCAAGCATCCACATTACCGCAGTGCCTCAGCCATGAACCATGCTGCCTGGTAATTTTTTAAAATGCAGGTGGTCACATATATGCTGATGTGTACGCATATGTGCTCATGCGCATCTGCGCTCATGTGCATATAGGCAAAAAAAATCCCAGTGATGGAAATGAAAAGGTTCAGACTTCCAATCCGTTTTGTGCATGCTCCCCCATGTTCAGACATCTGGCAACATGCAATGAATGTGCAAGGAACCAAAAACACCACCAAGTCATCCTGGGGAATGCCTGATAGATGTGGTTGTGTGACTGTGCACATTTAATCCAGAGGGGAAGGATGGCTATGTCGGGCCAAACTGCTCGTGTGATCATACCCGTTATTATGTTATAAAGTACTTTCAGTAATAGTTACTGATATGCTTTTATAATTAGTATCACATGTGTTGATGACTTTTTAAAAAGATTAAATAAGATTAATGTTTTAAAAATATTAGACCACTAATTTAACCATTGCTTTTGACCAGTCAAATGACAAGCTCTTATAATGTGTAGTCTTTGAAATTAGCCTGCTAAATTTTAGGGACCAACACTGAAGTTCTGTTATGTGCTGTATTACCTACATTTTGGAGGTAAAATGTTTGGTGTGTTATTTGTTTTTTCAGAAACATCACCTGAAGGCCTGAGATTTGTGACCTCCATTGTCTGTCAAAAACAGTGTGCAGTTTGGATCAGGGTCACACAAAAAGTGAAGAGGGTATTTAACCCTTCAAACCCTGTTGGGTTTCACTGATCAAAACTGAGTTTCTTATATGATTATTACAGTTTTATAAAGAAAAAGAGACAGATTTTAAAAGGACAAGTCATTTTCC